CCCCCTCAAAATAATGATGTTTAATGACCTGAAGTGCCCCTGAGACTACCAAACTGATGGGAAAATAGGTTATTCAAATTCACCACCCTTGTCAGAGAAAGTGCTGTGCACTGCGCGTAGATGAGTGGCTCAATCGTTGATTACAAATTCGTTTGAGTGGACACTTTCCACTTCAATCTTCTTCTGAAGGAGCTGCTGGAAACCATGTCGGAAGTGCAGTTTGAAACCTCTGATTGACGCTGACTCGATCCTGTTTGTTCTTATGTAACCGTGAGCAGAAGCACTCCCCACAGCCAAGTGTCTGCCGTCCTTGAGAATGGACGCCTCCTAAGTGCACAAGACTCATAAATTAGGTCTCAGGAAACTTCTGGTTCTTGATTTAACCAGCAGATGGATTACTGCCACATATTCAAGAGTCTGCCAATTTATTGTTGGGACCTGGGGCAGAGGTCACATTTTAAATGATATAGTAAAATCTGCGAAAGCCGGCACCTGTGACAGGTGGAAATGTGTCAGCCAAGGAAAATGAAAATGTTTCCCACGGAAATGAGTGATAGGAATGGGCAATGCATTCAGCTGAAGATGGACAACTTGTGACACCAGGAAGAGAAGGTGGCCGTGTCCAGTGTGGGTTTTCCCAGGCTTCGCTCGGTTTTAGTTTTTATTTGTATGGAGCCAGGAGGAGCCCAAGGAGGCCTGGTGGCGTACTGGGTAAAGCACTCAGCTGCTAACCAGAAAGTTGCTGGTTTCAACCCACCAGACACTCTGTGGGAGAAAGAGGAGGCAGTCCGCTTCTATAAAGATTTAAAAAAGAAAGAAAGAAAATCACTGCCATTGAGTCAATTCCAACTCATAGCAACTCCCTTTGGGATTCTGAGGTGCTAAATCTTTACGGAAAAAAGTAAAAAGTAAAAAGGGAGCTCTGGTAGCATAGTGGCTAAGACACTTGCCTGCTAACCAGACGGCTGGCGGTTCAAACCCACCAGCCACTCCTCGGAAGGAAGGTTGGGCAATCCTACTTCCGTAGTGATACTGCCTCGGAAACCCAAGGAGGGGTCGCTATGAGTCGGGGCTGACTTGACGGCACATAACAACAACAACAACAACAAATCTTTACGAAAGTAGATTGCCCAGTTTTCCTTCTGCAGAGTGGCTGGTAGGTTTGACCTGCCAACCTTCGAGTTTGCAGTCAAAGGTGATAGCCTTGGAAACTGTGGGGCAGTTCCACTCTGTCCTCTAGGGGCGCTGTGGGTCAGAATAGACTCCGGGCAGTGGGTGTGGTTTGAGCTTTGCTTCTGTGAAGACTGACAGCCTTGGAGACCCTGTGGGGCAGTTCCACTCTGTCCTCTAGGGGCGCTGTGGGTCCCAGTGGACTTGAGGACAGTGGGTTTGGTTTGCCATTTGCTTCCATAAATATGTTGTTGTTATGTGCCATTGAGTCGGACCCAACTCATAGCGACCCCTCCTTGGGTTTCTGAGGCAGTATCACTATGGAAGTAGATTGCCCAACCTTCCTTCCGAGGAGTGGCTGGTGGGTTTGAACCACCAGCCTTCTGGTTAACAGTCAACTGCCTTAGGCACTATGCTACCAATATAACAGCCTTGAAAACTGTTTGGGGCAGTTCCACTCTGTCCTCTAGGGGCGCTGTGAGTGGGAATGGCTTGATAGGAGGAACCCAGGTGGTGTAAAGGTTAAGTGCTCCTCTGCTAAGCCAAACGTTGCTGGTTTGAACCCACCCAGCCTAGAAACACTATGGGTCCCTTTACTGTGTCCAACGGGGTTGCTGTGAGTGGGAATCTACTCACTGGCTCCCAGCAGCATGGAGACATGGAGACTCAGGCTAAGGGAAAGGTTGGTGGTTCAAATGCACCCAATCAGCTCCGTGGAAGAAAGGCCGGCAATCTTCCATAAGGACGACCAAAGCAAACCAAAACCAAATGTTGCCGTCGGGTCAACAACAGGGACTGCTTTAAACAAACAAACAGACAAACAAAAAACAACCAGACACACTGCCATGACGTCGGATCTGACTCATAGCAACCCCTCCTTGGGTTCCCGAGACGGTACCTCTATGGAAGTAGATTGTCCAACCTTCCTTCCGAGGAGTGGCTGGTGGGTTTGAACCGCCAGCCTTCAGGTTAGCAGTCACGTGTCTTAGGCACTGCGCCAGCAAAGTAAGGACGACTAAAAGTTCAGCTGTTGTTGTTGGTGGTGGCTGATGTCACGCTTCCTGCTGATTCCCGAAATCACCCACGAGGGAAGGACTGTGGCCGGGTCCCGTGCCATGCCCGCACCCGTGGGGACTGGCCCGTGGGTACCGCTGGGTTCTCACTGACTGACCTTTGGAGGGTGGTCACAGGCCCCTCGCTCACCAGGGCTCTTCACTTGGTCCAGGTTCCCCCAGGTGGCCTCGGGGAGCCGTGTGCTCGTTCAGTGTCGGGACCCACTGAGCCCCCACCTACCGAGGTCCCCCCAGAGAAGCCCGTGGTGGTGGAGGAGACCCCGTCCTGCCCCAAGGAGTGCCATCAGGAGGACGTGAGTACTGCGCCCACACGGTGTAACAGAGGCGAGGCCTTGGCCTCCAACAGGAAAACGCAGGGGCGCCCTCCAGGGTCTGTGTGGGGAGGTCAGGGAAGAGCTGTTGGCGGGGTTTGCTCTGGGCTCAGGGGCTCCTGCCTCTATTTAGGGCGGTGCTCCTAGGCTGAACCGTGCACCCCAAAGAGCATCTGTCCGTGGTGTCCCTAGGTGGTGCACTGGGTTAAGCACTCCACTGTGAATTAACCAATCGCACCCAGAGGTGCTCAGAAGGCAGGCCTGACAATCCCCTGCTGAAGGGTCACAGGCATTGAAAATACCGGGAAACTGAACCCACGCCCGTGGCTTCCAGCCAAACTACAGACAGGCACAGGCACTGACACTGGGGAGATACGCTCCTTGGAGAGAGCAATCCTGGGAGAAAGAAGGGCTGTGTGTGCACAGGGAGACAGCGTGGGGGGCAGGAGCCCATGGAGGGAAGGACACAGGGGAGAGGTAACTATGGGGAGGGAGTGGGCGGGGAGCTGTTGCATTGTGGGAGATTGCAGTCAATGTCCTGAGACAAAGTGTATGGGAGTTGCTGTCTGGAAAGTGCATTTGCTCTGTAAACTTTCACCAAATTTATTTATTTATTTATTTATTT